CGCTGGACGGCAGTTGGGTGCCATTTTAGTGGTCCAGAAGCAAAGTTCTCGCGCTGGAAACCTAAGGTCCTGAATTCGATTGCCAGATGCGTGGTCGTGGGTGCACATTGCTCAGGAGCACACACTGGGACAAAATAGACATCCAGTGCTTTCAGGTTTTCGATGGTAGTAAAAATAAGATCATTTCAAAGTCATTTAACAACATTTCTAAAGAATAATTCATTTCACTGACCAACTACTAATCAATGAAGTTAAGACCTGACATAGGTTTTCTTTATGAAACTCTTTACAGCTTTCATGGAATATCATTATATTTTCTTTGGAGATTTCTAAAGTTGGATGTATATCCTTGCAATTTTTTGTTGTTACAATATCTAAAGACAGTGAAAACAGTGACATAGTGAAGCTCGAACTGTTCTTCGATTGTTGTATGAATTTCAAAGAAATAAACAGTTTTTGACTGCTTCACTTTTTCCAATTTTCGATACTAAATATGATGCATTTTCGGAAGTTTTGTAGTGTTGTTATTCAGTATGGTTTTTATGATGTTCTATCTATGAAATCAATGTTTTTTCATCTAATAACGTACGTAACAAATTTCTCAACATTGAATCTTATTTAATCAAGACTAAACAGAAACACTTACATCAATATCGTTTAACCACATTACCACAAAATACTAATATAATAAGGTAGAAAGCAATCGACTACTGCTAAACCATAATTTTTCCCAGTAGATGTAATATTTATATAGGAAGAAATGTATGGCTGTATGATACTAAGATAACTTCGACTAGTTGTAAGCATTTAAAACTTTAATCTAAGGTTGTAACACTCTGATGAACCAATCAAAATCATAAAACTTATCAGACGTGTACAATAATAGTTATTAAACAATATATTGGAATATAAAGAATAAACATCGAATTGTCTAGTTTTCCATGACTTTCACATCAATGGATTTTAAAAGCAGCTCTGGAAGTGGATAGGACACAAATTGAGGAAAGTACCCAACTGCGTCACGAGGCAAGCCCTCACTTGGAATATATATATATATATATATATATATATATATATTTGTGTCCTATCCACTTCCAGCGCTTCTTCCTGATTTCTTCCTCCGCTGAAATCTGGTTTTTCTTCTCTCACAGTAACTTGTTGCTGATAGTGTCTGGCCAACGGATTCGAGGTATTTTGAGTAGACAACTGTTAGTAAACACCTGTATCTTCTGGATAATGGCTTTCGTAGTTCTCCATGATTCCACCCCATACAGTAGAACTGTCTTGACATTTGTATTGAAAATTTTGATCTTGGTGTTGGTTGACACTGATTTTGAGTTCCAGATGTTCTTCAGTTGTAAATATGATGCTCTTGCTTTGCCGATCCGCGCTCTCACATCTGCATCAGATCCACCGTGTTCATTAATGATGGTGCTCAGATATGCAAAGGTTTATACATCCTTCAAAGCTTCTACATCAAGTGTGATTCAATTGATGCATGTTGTATTGTATCGGAGAATCTTGCTTTTCCGTTTGTGTATGTTGAGACCTACTGCTGGTGAGGCTGCTGCTACACTAGTCATCTATTCCTGCATTTGGCGTTGAGTGTGTGATAGAAGAGCCAGATCATCTACAAAGCCTAAGCCGTCCATCTGCATCCTAACTGTCCATTGTATCCAGTGATCCCCTCCAGATGTTAACTTCTTCATGATCCAGTCGATCACCAGAAGAAACAGAAAGGGTGAGAGTAAGCAAACTTGTCTGACACCGGTCTCTACCTCGAACGAGTCTGTCAACTGTCCTCCATGCACGATTTGGCAGTTGAATCAATCATAGGAATCCCATATGATATTGACTATCTTCTCAGGTACGCCGCAGTGTCGAAGAAGCCTTCATAGTGTTGTTCTGTACACGCTATCGAAGGTCTTCTCGTAGTCAATAAAGTTGATGTAGAGTGATGAATTTCATTCAATTGATTGTTCCACAATGATCCGTAGAGTTACGATTTGGTCAGTACACAATCGATCCTTACGGAATCAAGCCTATCGGTCTTGAAGTTGGGCGTCTACGGAGTCTCTCATTATGTTGAAGACTTTCGCTGGTGTTGGAAGAAGACTGATACCCCTTCAGGCTTCATGACTCTTATAAATGAAGACCCTCTAACTCCCAGGACAGAGTTTAAATAGTTTGAATTATTTTTCCTGGTTAGCGTTTTTTAAACGAGTTAGTTTTCTAAGGGATGGTGTCGTTAACTTCACGCCCAACCCTCCATCTTTATCCAGGCATGGGACCTGCAGTAATCCCAGAGAGGCTCCAGGCAGAGTTAAAGTTAATATTACGAAGAAGAAATAAAAAAATCAAACAATCATTGATGTTTATCATTATATATATACTGTGTCATAAGATTTTTGTATACATGGATGTATTGTACTATGATATGAAAGTTTAAAAAAATAATCAAAACAATTTGACAATGTATTTTACTTCATTTATTGACATGTTACAGATATCATCATTAATATGTGTAAACAATCTTACATATACATATAAACGAGTACCTTCATCACCTGTTCCTTTTTCTTTTAATGAAAACAGATGAACACTTATTGATTGATTGAACGCCAGAATGTCTAGTCCTACACTTTAATGCAAAAATTGACTAGTTAATAAGTGTTGTTTAATTTACTACCAATAATAAAATAGATAGACAAATGAAATATTGTACAATATACTTACAAATGAACCAATAATAAACAAGAAACAATTATGTGTATAGTGACAAGTAAACACCTAGTTATAGAAAATAATGTTGATCATAAGATGAACAGAAAAAACGTGAAAATAGAATGAAAAATAAAAAATTTGAAGAGGAAAAGTTTCAGCACTATTTGTATTCACTTAGTATTGTTTGTTTGAATCTACCGAATGATGTTTAGGACTGCAATTGGTCAGTCACTTATTGGCACATGTGCATACTGTGTGTATTGCCTCGATATTGATTTAATTCATTGCCTAAATTACTTTAATACAACCAGCTGACGAGTCCCAAATAGGATGAAACACGAGTCCTGGATTTCACTACTAGCGACTATCCATCTTTACTGTTTGTATTGTTACTTGCAAACTTATTAAATACTATGTACATCTGAATATCTTAGTGATTGCTTTCTGTGTACCGAAATACTTGTATTTATAAATAACTTTGCTCTATCATTAATTATTTTTTTGCTAACCTCGAAACTATTGCCACTACTACTACTACCATTACTTTTGTATTCGTCTTGATAATTTTATTTATAAGCATGTGATTGTGCAGATTTTCGAGTTTTGTTGAATTCATGATTCGATCTATGTTGGACCACCATTGAAAACCTGGAAGCACTAGACGACCGATTCGTTCTGGAACAGTTGATGTAGTCTGGTGACTTGTGTTGATCCAAATATCTTTCGAAGTTCTATGTTCTGCATCACTGACTGACTGAATGAAATAATTTTGTAGGTCGATATGTGTTATTCAGTTTCAGTAATGTAATTACACAGATAATTTGAACAAATTTTCAAATTAAATAAAGTCAAGTGTATTTATAAAACACTGTTATTTGGCTATGTAGTCATTTCTATACAGGGGCATGTATGGAAAACTATTTACTAAGTAATTAATATTATACTTTCGATCATTACTTAGATAATTTAGAAGAAGCGTTTAGCTGATATATTAAAGTGAAAGTCTACATAATTTGAACATTCCTACTCATTTAAGAAATCGAATTTCAGATCCCTTACATTCAGTGACAAAATTCTATTTCACAATCATGTATATGTTAGTGAAGAATTAATCGTTTTCTGATGATGAAGTTTTTCAGTTTGAACATCTCGTAGTGGTCTAAGATAATCACTGGGTTGCAACAAAGGCACAGTATCACCAACATGACATTATGGTAGATGGAAAATAAAAGTTCTGATAAAGTGAAAATCAATCCGTAAATAATGGATTATCTCTTGGACGCTAATCACTTAATAATTTTTTTCAATGATCAAAGCGGCGAGACTAAACTACATGGACGACCTTTGAACGAATCTTAAATGACGTTGAGAAATATTAGCCAATCAGAAGGCAGTTAGTATACAGTAATATATATTATACAAAACTCAAAAATTAAAGGGGATACTATTCTTTCATATGACTCAAAAACTTATCAAGGTTAGATATAGGTTCAGAAGTTCTAAAATCATAGTGCATCCGGTACAGTAACTCATCCATGTGGCTCCATAGTAGTCGACCTCTGGAACCATGATAAGGTCTCAAAAATTCTTTCAGCTTCGACCACATAGCTTCAATGTTGTTGGTATGTTGTTATGGTTTTGGGTTTAGGGTTAGAATTAAGGTTTAGGGTTAAGGATGAGACTATAAATTATGGACGACCTTTTAGCGACGCTAGGGTGACTCTGAGAGTGTCAACATAATAACTAAGACTAAATAAGGTTATAAACCTGTGTGAAGAATTCAAATTATTATTTACAGCTCATGGTTAAGGTTAGGAATTAAATTTAGGGTTTTCATCACTAACTGACATCAGCTATAATGTCAAAACTCGATTTATACAAATGGATAATTGAATTTCGCGCCAAAATCTTATGATCACTCCTCTTGTAGACGCTGAATTATCACGTCTTCTCTAAAATCCGTCGTAAACCGACCGTACATAAGCATCAGGTACCGAACTTAGCGTCGTGACCTTGAAAACCCGCGGAAGCTTCCGATTGGCTCGTCCATATAGTTTAGTCTCGCCATCAAAGCTCATGAATAACCTAATAGCTAATCTTATCACTGAATTTCAATGCATGAAAGTCACTAACAGAGTATGTTTAACAGATTTACAGTATTTTCAGGTCTTTGAAAATAGTAGGTAGTGTATAACGAAATAGCATGTAGAAATACTGTTCAATATTTCACCCTGGTCTATTATCAATTTAATAAATTTGTTTCTTCTACTTTACAGTTTCTCTCGTAAAATTAGATCTCAAGGAAACGTACTGTATTTCATTATTACATCTTGAGTTCCAATACAAAATGACTACAAATCAAGATAATATCAAAATATCGTCACTATTTTCCGATAAATCTATTAGCCTAAAAGAAAGTCATAGATATATTTTATCGACGCTAAATGATCTTACACCTATACGGCCACTTGATTGTAGTATTTCTGTTAATCATAATAGTAAGAGTCAAATAGGATATTTTACACCATGGTCACCTATTGAAGCTACGTTCTGTCAATGTACATCTAAAGGCAATTCCATTTATACTGCCGAATCAAATATACATGAAGATGTGGTCAGGAAGATGAGTGTACCTAACAATGTTACAGTTAACAAGACTGATAATCCTCTTGATTATTCCATACATTCCCATTTTATTGATCATCAGCGATTAACATCTACCAGTCCAAAAGTAACGGCTCTTCACCAATCAAATTATAATCGCAATTCATCACTTCAATTTTCGAACAGCTTAAAATTTAATAGTAACAATACATCTTCCTTCAGGAAATCAGAATGCGTTTCGGAGCCAGTTGTATGTTATACTACAAATAATGAAACTGGTGATGGACGTTTATCAAAACGAAAGTATTCTAAAAATCATTCAAGTATTTCTAGGAAACACACTGGAAAATATATAAAAGCGGGAATCAACAACATTACTGGCCTTAATCAACCCAATGTGATCAGTAATAATATTACAGATATCAGTGACAGGTTTGAGGTTATTCCCGCTGACGCTACTAATCACTCATTAACACATAATTTGCTAAAGAAGACATGTTCTTTAAATCAAAATATTGTAAATGAAGACGGGCATTTAATAAATGGTAAAAAATCGAAATTGGATAAAAATTGTCCCACACTTGAAAAAAATAGCACCAACAAACAAACAATAGATATGACTTTTTATCCCACTCCCAATGTTAGCCAAAGGAACAATGACGAGGATGAACAAGGTAAAACTAACAGTGATAATCAAAACAATGTGAAAAATACAGTTGTCTCAACAGGAGCTTATAAATACTTATCATGGCGTGAAAAAGATCGTAGACGAAGGTTTCGTGAGGAATGGAAGCATTTATGGCTTGTTATACCACATGGACTTCATGAAGTGAGTTGAAAATAATAATCTACTTTCCTTACTCGATAACTGATTTTATGTATTAGTAAAAGCAAGAATTATTGATGACGTATTACGTAACAACCAAAACTGTCTATTTCCCTAGTAAATACAATTCTTTATAGAGTGGTCATTTTTAATGACATTGATAAATGACTAATGAATAAACATTGACTAACCGAGGTTTTCCCCGTAGATCCATAATTTACTCTGAAAGCGTTGATCTTAATGTTATTATCGTAAAGCTAGTTATACGAATTTGAGAATATCAATAGGAAATCCGACCAAAAAGTAAGATTAATAAAAATAAAGTCATTCGCTTGTTATTGCAAAAGGATAGGTTTAATGGAGTTAAAATATAGAAAAAAACTTCATTTTACATTCTAGATAGGAAAACTGACAAGGAACACTGTTGTTAATGGATATAAACCCGAACTCCTAATGAACATCACAGCTTTATCACTGAGTTTTATTTAAAGATAACTAAACTCTAAAGCCTATCAACTTGTCTTTGTTATCCATAAAAGCCTGTTGGTGATATCATACAGAGTATCACGTAACAGTGAACTTAGATACATCATTGATTATTAAAAAGCGAATTAAAATTTTAGTTGGAGGTCCTGGCCAAGAACTCATCAGTAATTTATTTGTAGTGAATTCTGATAGCACCTCGAATTACTGTAGCTTTCAAACACCTGCTCAAGCGCCATGTTGAAGATTGAGTCGGCAAATATTTGTTTTACTGTGTGATATTAGTCATGTAATATCAATGTTGCTTATAAATTAGACACAGGTTCTCTTTAATTGTCCGATGATAATTCCTCAGTTAGATACCTGAAGACGGACAGACTTTATCAGATTTGAAGTCCGAAGTCTAAATAGTTTGAATCACTTTAACCCGATGTGAAATTAATGTGGATACTCCGAGTAACTGATTACTTCATAGTAAGAGCCCCCAGAAAATTCAAATAACTGTTATTACTATTCATTCGACGGTATATTTACAACACCGTTGAGATTAAGTGGCTTAACTATACTTATTATTAATCAGTATTTCGTAAAGAAGGGACAGTTTATAACTTACCAATGCTGTGAAAACAGGGAAATACTTAGCATAGGTGTATGGAAGCATAAGAGGGAAAAGCGAATTTATTGCCATAGTGCTGTCTATACTTTCAGAAAATCCCCACACTTTGTTTGGAACTCTCATTTTATTCTCTCTATCATACAATTTATAAAAAAATATGGCAATGGTTTGATTGTACTGGACGTATGTTTACTGCGAAAAGTTACAATGTATAACACAATTCATATACATAGCCTTCAATCGTCCATTTTTATCTAGCGGTGTTTTCTGCCATATGAGCAGTCTTCTTGTCTGGTCTTCAATTGTTCTACCAAACTGTGTTTTCGATGCACTGGAAGTTTCCACAGTTGTTGCAACTTCAACGCCACGTCCAGTTACACACTACTTACAAACATCCTTATGACTAGCGTCCACCATAGTAATATCATTTTTATTAACTTCGGTCTAGTATGAACCTATCAAAATGAATTGAATAGATGATAAATAGTTGAATAATTAGATCGTTTGGGGGCCTTTGCGATCATTGAATTGGGGAAAAGAATGAGATCTTTATTCCTATACTAGTAGACATAATCATTATAAAAGTATTCAGGATGGGAAGACATTACCTATACTCATCAAAAACTCATTAAGGAAGATTCATTTTTTGATACAAACAAAAAGGTACCAGACACAATGGCGGTAAAACAGTGAATAATTGGTTAAACTACTAGGTTTTCATTCACCAGGTTTCAGAGTCGAACCCTACACTGCCTAATTTAATTTTGGCAGTCAGGTAGAATCACTGGTCTTCACATAAATTATGACTCACAATCAAATACACAAACATGTATTTCTTGAAGCAATTCCTCCTGAGCCTTTGATGTAGTTTAATAATGAATCGATAAGAAAAATGTCCCTCTTATCTGAAAACTTACTGAAAACCTATTTTTGTTGACTTATAAAACGTTTTAAGCAAATAAACTGATATGATAAATTATTCCTACTACCAGTGGTAGTAGTAGTAGTAATAGTAATAATAGTAGTAGTAGAACCAGTATAATTAGAAATGTTGTTAATCAGTCTTTAACGTCAATCCTACCTTTATTACTATTGCTTTCAGAACTTGCAATAGGAGTGTATACTTCTTTGTATTTAAAAGATATTTAGATACACATACGAACATTCATTTATTACGGTTGATGGATAGCTATGATTATGACTGTTATTATTATTATTATTATTATCTTTCAACTATCTATGAAGATTTCTAGTAAATATTAGCACACATTCTTATATTTGCGCTTTATCTACTGTAAAAAAAGTAGAAAATCCTATCTTAAGCGGTCATTATTCTTATTTTCCTTATTTCCAATCAGTCTTACCAATACCAATAATCTAGATTTCTTCTCGAATATGGTAGTGCTGTATACACATATAGTCCAAACAAAATTCTCATAAATTGTACGGGTTTTTAGAAAAGTAATAAAAAATTTTACCATTAATAGAGAAAAAAATATGAAAAATAATAAACATTAGCGAAAAAAAACTGCAAGGGAGAAGATCCAAAGCTTTTTAGCACATAGAAGGCAAGAAAACTCATTCGGGTAAAAAAAAATGTCGGGAGTAAATTAAAAGGGAGAGGCCAAGGATGAATATGCGAAAATCATAAGGACTGATAAAGAGAGAGAGTGAGAGGGAGAGAGAGAAGAAAAATGGTAGTCTTCAATTTTTTTTTATGCTCTCGCCTAATTTCTCCCTTTTTATGAATCTTATTTATTGACATTAATTGGTCACTTAAAAATTGGTGATTTATAATTTTATACACATATATATATATATAATATCTATAGTATAGTGTTCGTTTAATGTGCATAATATTGATCCTGAAGAAAAATCTGTTAATTTTAGTTTCAGTGATGAAGATAACTATTCCGAGAAGGATTCTAAAAGATATACTTTACTTAATTGGAAATGATGAATTCGAATCAGGGTGGAGGTTAAGACCTGTTTTTTCTTGTTATCTGGAGTAGTTTTTGTTTCAGAAAATAGACTTCCCTTCGTAGAAAAGTATATTGAGAGATTATTACTAACTATAAGAAAATAATCAACAACTGTCACATCTTTTGTGACTGTCTATATCAAAATAGCCGGAGTTCTGTTTGAGACAAATAACTTGTTTGACATTAAATAGGAATAATATATTTGTAAATTCATTCGCTTAGATTTTACAAATATATTATTCCTATTTAATGTCTCACACCAACTTGGCGCTCAAATACTGTGAAACTATTCGCTCTAATTTAGACGAGAGTTCTTATATAAATAACTTGTTTGTTTAAAGACCCTAACAATTAGAGTTATCAGTCTTTTTTAGAATTCAGTTACTAAGTCAGTTTATCATTTTCACATCAAAGAAAAGGTGATTTAACAGTCAAACAATTAGGCTACAACTAATAGTTATCAGATTCAAACCTTTCTGGACGTATTTCAACTTCCATAACCGGATAATATCACCAACTTTCAAATACTTAGTGCAATGTAGTGCTAAAGATATCAACATATGAACAACATCAATCAAACTATTAGTCCATAATGTAATTAATTATTTAATTTATTCTTCTATTAAGTAATATGTATTTTAACTCGTTTCAAACATCATATGCTTTTATAAAACATTAGTTTATTATAGGATAACAACTGCAGTTGATTATTATACATTTCTTTATACATATGATTTTCTTTTCTTTTTGTTTATCAAGTTGTTTTCCAGAATTAAAAAGAAGTTACGATTTAAATTATTGAGTTGTGTAATAGGCATTTTCGAAAGTAAACCAAATCATTTGTTGTTCAGTACTTCCAGGTTTTCCATGGTAGTCTAGCTTCAATTAAATAATGATTTCAACTATGAAAATACTGAAATCTCCACAAAACCCCTTCTAATTTATAAGTGTTTCATTAATAATTAGTAAAGTAAAACTTTCTATTAGTTGAAGTTAGATATTAACACCGTGGGATGTCGGCCGGCTCAGTGGTCTATCGGTTAATTGCTCTGGCTCAGGACTGGTAGGTCCTGGGTTCAAATTTCGTGAGGTGAGATCGTGGATGCGCACTTCTGAGGAGCCCCATAATAGGACGAAACGACCATCCAGTGCTCTCAGGTTTTCCACGGTGGTCTAGCTTCATTGACTCATGATTTCAACTACATATAAATAAATAATATGTTTGTAATATTTCAACTAGTAGAAAAATTGGATTTTCTGATGTTTCGTGACTTAGTGTAAGTCACTTCTTCAGAGAATGAATAACCAAATCAAAATTGATCTATTAGTCCATAAATTGTTGGTTGAATTCATCAGTAAGTATGGCATTTGTTTTAAGATAGTCTTATAAGAAAGAAATCATATGTGACGTAATTATTAATCAGTACTTTTTGGTATAGATAATCAGTTTAATGCATAATTAAAAGATTACACATTTTACAAAATAATTCGATATATATTCAAATGAAATTTATATATTATTTAATTAACTAATTTCTAGTGAGAAGCAGTAACCATTAGAGTTCAACCGGGTCTGTTGTAAGATAATAACTCACTGAAGACATTGGTGGTTGTGTCGCTCAATTTCGTGAATCGGTTGAAGTTAGACATTAACATCGTTGGATGCTGGCCAACTTAGGGGTCTAGAAGTTAAGCACTCACGTGTGAGACTGATATGTTCTTGTTTGGAATCTCGTGATGCGGGATCGTGGATGCGCACTGTTGAGGTGTCTCACACTACGACGAAGCAACCGTCCAATTCTTCCAGGTTTTCCATGGTGATCCAGCTTCAATTGATTCTTGATGTCAATTATATAAAATTACCTTAATATCCACAAAATCTCTTCTAATATTAATTAAATTACATTATTATCTTTATTAATATCTTTAGGTAATGTGCCTTATATGTCATAAAGTAATGACACAAAGAAAATTAGATACAATAAAACGTCATGTTATTAGAAGACATCCAGAATTAATCAAAATGTCTGATCATGATAAATCTAATTTATTTAATCAATTATTAATTAAACAATATAAATTAATCGATAATAAAAATAATAATTTAATAACTAATATTCAATATAAATTAACAGAAAAAACAAAAGAATTATTAAATAAACCTAATTGGTTAATTAATCAAACAATGAATAGGAATATATTTTATAAAAAGAGTAAAGATTCATTGAATGAACTTGATCAAGTAGTTCATTCAAATGGTAAAGTTAAGCAAGATTTATCTTTGAATGAAAGTAAATGTATACCGAAGATAAATCAAGAAGTCATGAACACTTGTGATTTAAACAGTTTACCATTGACGTTACCAGAAGATTGGTCTAATCTCTTAAAAGTTGCTGAAAGTTTACTTCCTATTGTTAAACCATCACTTAATGGAACAAGTGATCCTCTTGATTATTCTACACATTCAAATCGACACAATCCAATGGAAATCAGTATACAGTTATCACCATCTAATAGTCAGCCAGTATATACGTCAAATATTTCGACAGAATCATTATTGTCTTCAAATGTTCAAGCTACTAATTGTTCTTCGTTTCGTCCTTTCTCTTCTTTTACATCATCTAATTTAAATATAAATTATAAAAAATCATTTACTCCAATGACATATAAATCGTCAGAGTCAACGAATTCATTACCATTATCATCGACTGTACAGCCAGAATGCTTTTCTAATATTCAAAATTTAGACAAATCCTCTGAGTTTCTGGAATCCATCTCTAATTCGTACGACGACACCATTAAAACTAATAATGAAAGTTTAACTGCAGTTAATTGTAACGTAAACTTTTCCAATAGAAATATCTACGTTGAAAATGACAACGAGATAAAGGGCTATGATAACAGTCAAGCAGCAAAAATATATTTAAATTCACAGTTCCATTTAACAACGGAATATATGGAGCATAATCATGTTGTTAATGAATTAAACCATCATTTAAGAGTATCTGTAAATAAAGCAACAAGTCATGCAAACCTTACGTCAACTGGATTCAATCCGACATTTTCAAAAGTAAGTTTAATCTCATGATATACATGTTTATTAAAATTATATTCATTTAGTCTTTTCATAGTATAACATGGAATGTATGCTCAAATACTAGTACAGATTACAGTTGAATTATATAGAATAGATGAAATGTGACTAGCAGTGGAATTTAGAGCTCATGTTTCATCCTGTTTGGGACTCAATCAGCTGGATGCAACTGCATCCTAGACTGAAGACATGTCACTGTTGTTCTTGCAAAGATGTTCATTACATATATAATGACCAGTATGCCAGCTGACTTATATACTATATTACCAGTGAAAATAACCACTATCTGTTTTTATACAATATTGTCACCTAATACAAACAATTGTTTGTCAATTTGGTGTACTAATAGGAATGTCAAGCAATCGGATAGATTAAATTAGATCAGATGTGAGAATTTCATCAAGAACTATACGATGGAAATATGTAAATGTATTGTAGTCAATAGATGTGTATACCCTTATTATAAAACAAATAGAAACCAATCACTATTATTATTAGTTCACTTTTGTATTGGCTGTTTGAGTCTTCCCATTCATGTTTAGGACTGGAATTGATCAGACTCATGTTGACATATGTACTGGGTTCGAGTCCTAGCGTGAACATAAACTCTGAGATGTAGATATATCCAACTGACGGGTCCCAAGCGGGATGAAACGCGTGTGCTGGATTCCACTGCTAGCCACCAAACATCTCTGCTTACAATCATCATCACTTTTAAAGTTAAGCGGTCAATGAAAAATCAATAAGAAAAATAAAACAGAAAATTTTCTATCTACAATTTCATTCGAAATTACTCACTAATAACCTCTGCTATTTTTGATCATCTAAAATATATTGTAGTTAGAATGTATGAAAAATTCTAAAGTTACTTTCTAGAATTAGGCGGCATTAAGTTGATTAATATATAGTAAAATGTATTTTCAAATCATTAAACTAGTCAAGTTCACAATGAACATCAACATATGCTCACTAGTGACAGGGTTCAAGAGGTACTTCCTGGAGTTCTAGTGAGAAGCAGTAACCAATGGATTTCAACCAGGTCTGTTGTGAGATAGTAACTCACTGAAGATAATGGTGGACTGTTGTGAAATATCGTGGATCGGTTGAAGTTAGACATTAACACCGTTCAAAGCCGGCTCAGTTGTCTAGAGTTTAAGTACTCGTGCGCGATGTGTCCTTGGCTGGAATCTCGCGAGTGCGGGTTCGTGGATGCTCACTGCTGAGAAGTCCCACACTGAGACGAAACGCCGTCCAGTGCTTGGAGTTTCTCTATGGTGGTTGAGCTTTGATCGATCTCAACTATTAAAATTATTAAATAATTGTCTAATAATATTCTTATTAATAGTGAAGTCATTTTAAAATAAAGAGACTATCTAGTTAGACAAAGTATTGAACCATACATATATATTGGTGCAACAAACTTTTTCATAACTGTTTGATGGTTTCATTCATTTTCTAAAAAGAAATGGTATAAGTTAATTCAATTTCCAACTACTTACCAATAGGAAATAGTTGTCTATTGGATTACACAAAGATTTACAATTTTGATTGTTTCAATCATAAGTTGGATTATCGATGTATAACATTTCTTTTATTGTCTTATCTTCTCAACAGGTTCCCAGACTTGACGAGGCTCAATCTTTAATGATAGCCGCTTGGTATTCAGCTCTTATGAATTCTGCTAAAAATACAAACCAATTAGTTAATGATAATGAATTTTTAGATGTGCATAAACCGACTTGTGATGAATCTGTAAATATGAAACAGCCCCTAACATTTTCTTTCCCTCTGCCAAATCTAAAACTCTTCAGTACCAGCTTAAATGTTCCCGATACCGCCGATGAATCTTTTTCCTCTCGTTTAAAACAAAAGGAGAAACTTAATAATTACCCAAGTATAATAGATTCATTACAATTTCATAATCAGGAGGTGAACTTACAGTTACCGAAACAAATGAATCCTTCCCGTCAGTTAAAAGTGAATTCAGATTTGAATAAATTTACTATCTCATCTCTACTGAATACAGAACAACGTCAAATAACAACTCCTGTATCAAAAGTAGCACAGAAAAATGATAATTCCTGTCCTAAAATACATAGTAGCTTCGAAATACCTTCATGTGATAGCTCTACTGATTCATCATTGCAACTTGGCAATCAGCAAAAATATGACAAATTTAAACATATTCCTGAGTGTATCTCATGCATTCTTTGTATGATTCATGATATGAATGTAGGAAATTCCTCTGGCATTACAAATCATAGTAAGTCGTGTAGATTAAATGTTGACATTCCAAGTAACATATATGCAAAAGAAGCTGATTCATACAAAAGGAAATATACAACATTCACTTGCCCTAAAAATTTGTCAACTTCATTTTATAATTCTGTAGAAATTGAATCCAAAATTAATACATCCAACCAGTTTAACGATGGTAATTGTACTTCACAAAATCAAATACCATCCATACATTTACTGGATTCAAATACACAACCCATTCACCAAGCACAAACCTTTATGAAATGTTATTATGATGAATTGTTACGATATCATTTCGAACATATCCAGAAAGAAAATCAATCCAGTAAAAAAGTAACATCACCGTATTATCGTATACCACTAAATAAAGAAGATGCTATCTGCTTAAATGGTAGTGCAGAAATCTAGTTAAATGAATCAACTTATTGTTTATTGGTATAAAGAAATACCTACAGCTAACCACATGAAACTTCTAAGCAACAACAAACAGTAAGTCAATAACATACTACAATAAACAAGTATGCGTAATACTAATATTTTTTCCAACAGTCACACTAACTCTTATGAACTAATTTATACAGTCCGAATTACCAAGATTCATATAATAACTATATATTAAGAAAAGTTTTGATATTTGAGATGGAGGAGAAGATTTGTAGCTCAGGTGAGTGATGTTGATGGAGTTTTGCTCTCTGAGCTAGATGGTTCGTTCGTGGAGATTTCATCGTCCTTCTGAACGACATCATCAGCACAAACTTCACATATTCATTTTGTCCTGCTTGGAACTTATTAGATGAATATACTTCCATACCGTGGTCGGTATTCACACGAAGTAATTATTGCTGTAAACACCAATAAGTTATTCACAAAGTTCCTGAAACAAAACAACTATAAAGGGCATTTTTGTTGGTAATAGAATTAGAAGCTTTCTAGCTCCGTTCTTTTACTAGTCTAATGATACCTTAATGAAAAACCAAAGGTTAAGAATCTACTTCATATCATAAGAATAAAAATGCAACTTTGAAGCTGATAGAAACTAGCTAAGTTAGGAATAAAGTTATATTACCTTAGACATGATGTCTTTGTTGAATAATATTATTAAGATTGCTATCTTACTTGCATGTAATTCATAATCAGTAACTGATATTTTACTATTTCTAAGGTATTGTAAGCAAAGATGGATAGTGGCTAGCAGTGAAATCCAGGACGCGCGTTTCGTCCTATTTGGGAATCGTCAGCTGGATGTACGTGCATCTCAGAGTTGATGTTCATTCTTGGACTCGAATCCAGTACCTTTCGCTTCAAACGCCATCGCGTTATCCACTCGGTCACTGAGTCTATATCGAGGCAATATGCACAGTATGCACATATGCCAATTAGAGACTGACCAGTTGCAGTCCTAAACATCAATGGGAAGATTCAAACAAACAACACTAAGTGTATTTCTAAGGTAGTTTACAGAACAGAATGTAAAATGACAACTTCAAAGTATTATGGACAAGTGAATAGTTCAGCATCAATAGTACAATACTAGATAACAAACACTTCTTGTATTCAAGTTCTTTTGATTTGAAATGATAAACTAACATTGATATCTTATTGCTTTATAAATTGAGTAAAAGTACTAAGTATACTCCATACGTTTTCATTGTACGGAGATTATTTTTCTCTGGAATAATATTCTAAGAACCATTATTCACTTAACCAAATATTTTTTTTAATATTTTTTGTTCCATAGATCCAGTTATGTGACGTTATATGTAATTGAACATTGAATATCACACTTTTTTTCTTCTAAAATTACATAACTTACATGAATATTGAAACAAAAATACTTCATTGATAACATCTTAACAACTATACTATGAAGGTAAACATTAACCATGGATAAAGTAATATATAACACAATTGGGAGAGATCATTAAAATTATGAAATGTGTTATTATCTAGTTTATTTTCATTGATTAAAACAAAAGATCGATCATAATATTAGATAGTGACAAATATGTTCTATCATCAAATAAACTCTTGATTCATGAATTCTAATGTTCATGGGATTATTTAAATAAAAACTTAATGAAAGTATAGAGCTTTTTAAAAAGATTCCTAACATATCTTTCAGTCTCATTTAAATATTCCTATACATTCTTTACAGTATCATCATCTAATACTGAACTCATATAGAAAACAGAAGGTGAGATTTTTATGATGGCTAAAGATCATGGTTGTAATTGATTGATTATTGAACGATCAACACTGAAGTATTTACATATGTTCTTGTTCAGTTTTCTTTACGACAACGCGTTCTTTTCTTTCTCATCATTTCCCTTAATTTTGTTTGTCATTATTAATTGTTTATTGTAAGTAATTACTACTTACTTTGTTAACATACCCTACTTATTAAGTAGTGAAATCGTTTATTAATTATAAATTTATTTCTTTTCTTGTCATCGATTTTGTACAAGACTATTTCCATAGACTATTCCTTATTGAAAGTCATTGAACTTTCCATCTAATTCTTTTTGGGGGGATAATCTAACTATAAAAGTGATGTGATGCATTGAACTATATGAATTGTGATTAAATTATTTAAACAGATCAATATCCTTCTTAGTTAGTTTTCTTTTCTTTTTTTAAAGTTGAAACCATGTGAAAATGTAACTGACTTGTTTTTCTTAATCTATGGAAAGTAACATAGTGTTGTAGAATCTATGCATAGTACATTGTAGATGGTGTTTCGTCCCAACTATCCGGTGATGATAGTTCGTAACAATGTTCTTTTTTATGCAACAGTTTATTTATCTTTTGTTTGTTTGAAATTATCATTAACTGATATATTATTTAAAGAGATATCATGTCTTTTCTAAATGAAACTAGCACATTTAACAGTTTAGTTATTATCAGAAAGGGTTTTGTGGAGATTTAATCATATACTCACTAGTGACTGATTTCGAGATGTAAATCCTGGAGTTCTAGTGAGAAGCAGTAATCAGTGGAGTTCAAACCACGTCTGTTGTGAGATAGGAACTCACTGAAGACAATTGGTGAATGGTTGCTCAATTTCGTGGATCTGTTGAAGTTACACATTAACACCATTGGATTCCGGCTGAATGGTCTATCGGTTAAGTGCTCTGGCGCGAGACTGATAGGTTCTGGGTTCGAATCTCGCGGGTCGGGATCGTGGATGCGCATTGCTGAGAGGTCTCGCAATAGGACGAAACAGCCGTCTAGTGCTTTCAGGTTTCCCACGGTTGTCTAGCTTCAATTGATTCATGATCTCAACTCTATAAAATTACTAAAATCTCCATAAAACCCCTTCTGATAATTAATTAATTATTACACTTTTCAAAAAAAACAGAATATTAACTTATCACTAGTTACAACAGGAGTAGTGGTTAGTTAACATATTCAACTAGAAACAAAATATAGTTAATTATTTATGTTTTAATAAATGAAGCATAAAGTATTATTCAAACAAATTAGGACCTACATTGAAATGTAATACAATAAATATCATTATTAATTAACTTGATTAAATGTTCCGACAGGAAGTAAACACATTTCTACCTTGTTTCACTATACTTAAAGTTGTTTTTAGATAAAAGATAAAGTAAATAATAAAAAAAAATCATTGGTATGAGATGAAGAAACCGAAATTAACCTTCTTCACTTCTCAATAAGTAAGGTATTAAAGTTTAGTTATGTGAAACACTCGTAAATAGTTCATAGGTAATTGTTTCTATGAATAATAATTATCATAACAGTTAACAAACTGTATCCTCTAATGGTGCATAACATCTCAGTATATTCAAATACTTTAAACTGTCAATAGTCGGTATTACAATTTCAGCATGAAAACGAACAAACTATACTTAGTAGTTATGAATTACTCCATCTAATTTTTTTCTTATGACTGATGAAAAATGAAAAGATCAAATGAACAAATAAATAAGTATAAAGAATAATATAAACTACCAATATTTTCTGTTACTGGAATAATGCACGACTGCGCAATACCTTTTTTTCTTTTTTTTGTTGCTAACTGAAATATGTACCATTTTACTCACCGTTATATCTACCACATACTTATAATTAAATGTTAACTGAAGTATTAATCATCGGTTAGCAGTAAAATAACTGTGTAACATGAGAGTAAATCACCGATAAGTTAGATTAGCTTTTTTTTTAATTTACCAGCTAAAAACTGAAATAATAAAAGGATTTTTTTTAAATAACAGTATAATTAGTAGTTGTTTGCAAAGTGTTTACCATAGGAAAATTTCAACCGTATTTTTAAAGTTTAGATTCAAATTATTCAAATAATACCTGTCGAATATATGTATATATTCAGCTTAGTTTTGAAGATTTTCTTTTTTAGATCCAGATAGAATGTAAGCTTTATATAAAAAAACTTATCAATAATACTCAGCATTCCTACAATTGAAGGACATATTGAACTCAAAACAACTGTCAACCAATATCAAAGTGAGTAACTTCAATACGAACGTCAAGACAGTTCTACTGTACAGTGCTCAAACGTGGATAACTACTACAACCATCGTCAAGAATGTACAAGTATTTATAAACAGTTGTCTACACAAAATACTCAAGATTACTGACCGGATACCATCAGCAACAGCCTACTGTGTCAGAGAACAAACCAACTCTCAGATGAAAAGGGAATTAAGAAAAGACGTTGGAAGTAGATCGGACATACATTAAGGAAGTCACCAAACTGCATCACGGGGCAATCGCTAACTTGGAATCCGGAAAGGAAGCGGAAAAGAGGAAAGCCAAAGAACAAATTACACCGGGAAGTAGAATTAGATATGAAAAGGATGAATGTTGACTGGAAAGAATTGCCCAGGACAAAGCTGGATGGAGAATGCTAGTAGTTGGCCTATGCTCCTCGACGAGGGGTAACAGGCGTAAGTAAGTAAGTTGTCAATAATACTATTGTTAATGAATGAAATTATTTAGCTGAAACAAATAAGCAATAGGAAACAAATGTAAAATAGGAGACTAAAATAAGTTAATATTTACAAAATAAACACGAATATCTTGATCACTGAAAATAAAAATCCAAGCGTTGGGTACTTTTTCTGAGACTATTCATCTCAATATAAATCTATAGTTTCTTAATAAGCATAACTTCTGACTCACATCAAGTACATAAGAAGTAAATAAGTCATAAAGATTTAATGAAATGATTCTATATTAAGGAAATAGCTTTGTTTTGTGAATTAGAGTGAAGATATTTTTATTAATAAACAATTATAAACAGTTAACGATTATAAGTAAAGATGGATAATGACTAGTTTGGATATTCAGGACGCGCGTTTCGTTCTATTCGGGACTAGTCAGCTGAATGTACCTGCATCTCAGAGTTGATGTTCACTCTGAGATCCGAACCCTGTACTGTTCACTTCAAACGCCATCACGTTATGCAATCAGCTACTGAGTCCTGGATTCCACTGCTAACCACTATCCATCATTTCTTATATTGCTTGTGAATTAAGACTATATCGACGCAATACGCACAGTATGCGTATATGTCAATTAGAGACTGATCAATTGCAGTCCTAAACATCAATGGGAAGATTCAAGTAAACAATACCAAGTGAATTCAAATAACAACTTATTTTGGAGCACTGTATTCTCTTCAAAGATCCCCATATTAGCATACGCATTTTCTTTAGTGTAATGGAAAAATTTATTCGTAAGAATTTTAAAAGTACCCCTGTCGGAAGGAAACATTCAAATCACAAGATTAACAAGGATGCTACCAGAATTTGTTTTATATTTTCGACTTTCTGATTATTATATCATCATAAATAAAATGTTCTATATACTATTGTGTTTTGTGATGAGTTCCCTATAATTCGACTGTGGCTTTTTTTGTTTAGAAATGATACTAGATGTACAAGTGTTGAAAGTCAGACATTATTGAACAACTTTGTTGCTTTACTGTGACTTACCTCAGCAGTATGGACTATCAAATCTACACAAGATCTCTATCATAACTTTCTAGCTTGAAGCGCTTGTAAACTAATAAACTGATATCCTGACATAAATAAAATAACAGCAAGGTTGTTCGTATTGGTATATTTTAGAATGTTTTGCGACTGAACGACCTGTCAGAAAATTTATTTTGTTCGATAGTAAGTGACGTATGACTAATCACAACATTGTGCTTCATGAATATATCTTAAGTTTACTGGTTTGTTGAACGTGTTTCACTAATGCTTTCAAACTGGATTAATTTCTATAAAATTACGCTGATAGTCGTGCAACTACAAATGATTAGTTTGAAGTAATGTTCTAAAGATTCTATTGAGAAGCTATGACTGATGGAGTCCAGTCATTCTGGAGAATGAATGAGGCATCACCAACAGGATTCCACACTAATTGAGCTAGATAAATAACAAACTGAAGTTATAAAAGCCAGACTAGTGGATTATGACTAGGTGACTCAATAGTACTATACTAAGTTTGATTACATATAAGTTCATGGGTTTATGCTATAAAAGAGATTTGAAGTAGGATTGAATAGTTGTCTAGTTCCTCAACAGTTTTCAATGATTCTTCACCTAAAAACACTTAGTCTTAGAAAACTATAAACAGAAATAGATACAGGTAGAATGCTGTTAGGCAGCCTATGCTCCACCACGAGGCGTAACAGGCGTAAGTAAATAAGGAAGACAGTTTTCTTTAGTTTATTATCTTATTGGGAGTAGAAAATTAATGAATATATTTATAAACAACTAAATAACAAAATAGTTAGATCCACAGATATTGTTTAGTTGTTAGATTAAAACATTTACTAAGCTGTCAACGAGCATTTTGACACCTGATGTATATTAGTCTACGCTGAAAATAGTCATTCTTTTCAAAAAAGTCAATATCAGTATAGTTTATTTCTGTAGGAAAAACCATTACTAGAGTTTGTACGATTAACAGTAATATATCTTCATAGTTGAAATCATGAGTCAATTGAAGCTAGTCCACCATGGAAAACCTGGAAGCGCTGGACGGCCGTTGGTGAACAGTTGCTCAGATATCGTGGATTGGTTGAAGTTAGATATTAACACCGTTGGATGCCGGCCAACTCAGTGGTCTATCGGTTAAATGCTTGGGCGCGAGACTGATAGGTTCTGGGTTCGAATCTCATGAGTGTAGGATCGTGGATGCGCACTGCTGAGGAGTCCCACAATAGGACGAAACGGTCGTCCAGTGCATTCAGGTTTTTCATGGTTGTCTAGCTTGAAATGACTCATGATTTCAACTATGAAAATACTGAAATATCCACAAAACCCCTTCTGACCAGTAATATATCTATTGGAAAAATTAGCTTTATGCCTATTTCATTAGTATCTAACTCCAATCCTTTGTACTACTCTAATGGCTGTGCTTTTCATGGTAAACAAGTTGATATCTACCAATTCACTTGACGATCATTATTTACTTACAAACATTCAGACATTTTTCCCATGCATCATACACCTAGACTACTACTATTCATAAATTAGACGAAATGAAATGCAGTTATAACGACTTCATAAATTATAATAATATACTCAGATATAGGAAAATACATTTCATATTAAATGAAGATATCATTATTGTTCTTCATCATTATTTATTCTTTTCAGTTTAAAGACAGTTTCAGATAGTTTCTTTGAAAATAACATTTATTGTATACATTCTATTCCTTGAATCATTCCCCATGTCAGACGGCATCAATGTTTTTTTTCACGTATACACACATTAAATAATTTAATTGGAACATTGAAAAATCATACATCAAAATAAAGGCTTGTCTATTCTTCAATACTATTCTAACTATCTAA